CAAACCCAGCGCCCTGTGATGCCACCTGGCTCAAGGCTGATTAGGAAGGGGGACCCTGAGCCTTTTGATCTTCCCTCATCAAAGAGTTTTTAAACAAGCTTCATTTTACACTACTGTAAGGTGGCGAAGGCTTGGGACTGCAGTGAGCGCCCTGAACCTAAGCAAGCACTCCAGCAATGCGGGTTCATGACTCACCCTGGCGGGAAGGGGATGGAGCCACAGTCCTGAGCTCTTAGACCCACGCAAGGGTGAGAAGCCTTGCTCCAACTGCCCACCCGAAGTTAGTTTCTTGCCTACACCTTGATTCCAACAAGGTCCCAATACAATTTGCTAGCTGGAAATTTAGAGGCCGTTAAGATGTCGCACCTCTACAACATTGCAACCATCTGGGGATGAAGAAACAAAATGAATTCATTCATCCATTCTCATTCACTCATTCCCTTCACCCTCCTTCTCACCGCATCTTTTAGAAAAATCAAGTAGTGCCTAATTCACTAAATTTCCAGAATCTTAGTTTACACGATAGATTCGTCTAATCAACAAGTTCCGGGAGTTCAAGGCCCTGGGCATTGCTCAGTAAAGCCTACAGGCTTCCTGAAAGACATTTAACCTGAAGACAAAAGTTCTTGCTCTGGAATGCTCAAAGACAATTTTTAAAGCCAGAAGGGGGCTCCCTTGGCTTCGCAGTGTGACATTTACAAATGAAAAGAAAGCTAGATCCACAATCAGAAAGGGGCTGTGGTCACCCTGAAGTGTCCAGTGCTGAGCTCAGGCCCTCATTTCCAGTGTGGTACCATGAAGCCCATTTGGTCACAGTCCTTGGAGTATGCCAGTATAATAAAGGGAGTAGTAACAGGAACCTAGTGACACGGAGGAAAGTGTAGCCTTCTCTATATCCAGTGGCTTCGTACCCTGCCTTGCGCTGGCACCACACTATCTTTAAGGCTAGAAATACTGAGTTCACCAGGTGTTACTACTGGGCAGCTGGACTCCTAGACTCTATCCATCACAGACCTTTCTGAGTGTCAGGACCTCCAAAAATACACGGGCAGATGCTTAGCTTAGGTACCATTTTTACCAGATTTTAGTCAGACTTCCTTGCCTTCTGATCTCCATACTGTTTACATTTTAGTGGCCCCAGGACCATCTTCTTAGCTGGGTTGACAATCCCACTACCCTGAGGCTGGATTTAGATAGGCTGGCCATCTCTATGGACAGAATAAAGGTAATCACGCTGAACTCATTTGCTCCTCTTGCACTACAGAGAAAATCTGTCATTTCAGGGGCGTCCAACCACAGGTCATGTCTGAAAGTTCTTCGTCTTTTGTAACGAACACAGAAACTAAGACCTTTTTTTAAATTGAAGGAGAAAGTCATAGTTTTATTAAACACCAGGAATGGGAAATCCCTGTTACTAATTCAAGATTGGCACCCAGGAAGATGTTGGCAGTATCCACCATTTACTCAATGTTTTCTTCCTGAAGCAAAAATTGAATGTTAACAGACATTCCTTTGGTTTGACAAGTAGAGAGAAGGAATGAAATGTGGAGGGGGAGACGGAGGGAGGGAGGGGAAACAAGGACCCCAAATAATGAAGGTGGGAAAGTAGTTTGAAAATAGCCTGGTGTCTTGTTGTGTTTCTCTAAATATTATTTGTCTGTTTGTCTTGTGGATTAAAATGATCAGTATTTGATGCCGGATGGCACGCCTTACTCCATCCCCGAGTTACACAGTTTGATTCCACTGCGCCAAACTTCTCTCCTAGTTTTAAATTTAATAGAAAATATTAACTCTTTTGCAATTCCTGTGGTCATATTAGACTATATGCAACAAGAGGCACAGTTTCTTCCAGAACAAAGCAAACAACATTGAATAGATATACCCACCACTCCTTTACCTGGTTGCAGATCTCCAAAATGCCTGAGTCTAACCAGTATGTACCAAGTATAATCTACTTAAATAGCAAAACTGAGCCTGATATGGTAACTACACCTGCAACCCCAACAATAGAGGGGGTGTTGATAGAAAAATCTCAAGTGCAGGCTACTCAGTGAGACCCTGCCTTAAAATGCAAAGAACCCAAAAGCAACAGCATAGAAACCAAACCGAGCCACAAAAAAAAGAAAAAGAAAAAGAAAGAAAACAGAAAACACACACACACACACACACACACACACACACACACACACACACACAAAACCCTCCTGTATCCTGATAGTGTGTTTATTGTGTTTATTGGGTTGCTGGGAGACTAGAAGGAGTCTGCTTTCAGCGTACCAGAGAGATGCTCTTCATAAGCCCTGTTGAGTGTTCTTTGGCACTGAAGGAGCAGTAGACATCTCTTTCCATCTTTACCTCTTGATTTTGACAGCTGGGAGTAAGCTAAATCAAGGCAAGTATTCTCAAATGAAGACTAATGCTTCACTGAAACAGGCAAGTCTCTCCTGCATCATTTCTCCCCCTCTGCCATTCGTGAGTTCACTTTTTCTTTTCCTAGGTAATTCGAATGTGAATATTCCAAACCATTTGTTTCTTACTGCAGCACACCAACTACGATGCTTAGCACACTGTAAGAGACTACAAATGTGGACCTATCTGCACCTTTGGAAGGAGCATAAAAAGTAAGGAGTACCACAGTTTCATTTGTGGGCCAAGTTCTTGATGAGCTAAGTTCTGTTCATTAAGATGCTGTATATTAATTGGGGGACCATCCATTAGAATACTGAGGAAGGGCCGGGCGTTTAGTGCACCATTTATGTATTTCTAGAGCTATCTAAATAGGGTAACAGGACTGGGGAAATATCTTTTTACTTTTCAAATAGACAGGGCATTCACTACCTACTGTCCAGTGTCATGTAGATTTAAGTTGAAAGACAACACATTCATCATTGACGTTGCTGTCAATGTGCTGAATGTGATAATATGGTCCCTAAGGCCTCCTCCCTCCTTACTCTTCTGTCCCATCCTTCCCAGTGTCTCAGAAGATTTCAGATCCACTGAATGGTATGTCTGTGTGGAGCCGGGGAAATTTGTTTTATTATTTACTTGATCACCTCCCATTGCTTCTAATGTTCACATTTTAAACAAAATGTTAAAACTTCTTTTTCCAGTTTTCTAACCATCTGTAGGTAGCCAGCCTTAGCTACACCACTGTACATATTCTTAATAAAAGCCAGAGAGACATGTAGGATTCAAAGCATGTTGAACTTTCAATAAACCACAGGAAATTCCCCAAAGTAGATCAAGTTTGGGGTCAGAGGGGACATCATCGCATATAGAGGCAACATTAAAAGTTGCTTAGACGACACTTGAAGATGACTTCTGAAACTTACCAAACCAGAAAATAGATATTTTTAAATGTTCATTTTTAATATCCCTCCTCACTCAACTTCAGAATTATATTATTTGTTCAAGACTGTCATTGGATGGGACTGGAGAGATGGGTCAGTGGTTAACAGCCTTGGCCGCTCTTGCAGAGGACTCAGGTTCAATTCCCAGTACCTACGTGGCAGCTCACAACTGTCTGTAACTCTGGATCCAGGGGATCTGATACCAATGGACATAAGATAAAAGCTAAATAAATAATAAATAAATAAAGACTACAATTTGCTATTTGAGGACTCCCCCAAGAATGAATATTAGAGATAGGGCAGTGTATAGAACAATTCTATACAGTCCAGAAGTTAAGAGACTACAAAAATGCATTGCTTTCCACCTTCTCCAACAGTGATTTCCAAAAACCTCTTTCTTTCCAATCTTACACAATAGTTGCTTATTTTCTCACAGTTATCAATCTGTTCCTAAATGTTATTAGTGTACATTTCTCTTGTTATATCATGACAACTGTCTCTTTTAGCATTGCAATGATTGGAACAAAGAATTTGACTTCTGTTATCTCAATAAATTACCTCTAATTTATAAGCCCAGCATCTTTACACAGTGTTGTTTCTTATTTCACACACTGGTTGAAACCACTACAAATTCGTTGTCTGCTTTATCCAACACTCCTTTTCCATGAGGCAGTCTATTATCTCCCTAGAGAGTTACTCCTCCTGTCCGTCCCATCTTGGCCTAGGTTTGATTTGGGATCAAAAGCAAGCCTTCTCCCGCTCAGCGATACGAAACACTAATGAGGAAGTCGGGAGCTAAGCCTTGGGGGTTTCTTATCTTCTTCTATTAACCCACCGCTGGGAACCGGGAACCGGGAAAAGAGGACTCACTGGGCTCAGGGACCCTGTCCGCTCTGACTCGGGGCCACTTTGATCTCACATGTCTGCTTAATCAAGTTCATCTACTGCTGGGCCTGACCAAATTCAAAGAACCACATTAAATAGTTTGATTATCGAGTGCCCATTTTCCTCTTCCCTCCACCCCTGATCTAATTTCCAAAAGCCAGTCTCTCGCCTCTCCCTCTAAACTCACCATCAAAAGCGAATTAGTTCTTCCCTTGGTATCCTCATTTGATGTGCAAATTTTCTTGTCTTTGCACATTTTTTTCTCCTGGTGTGTGTGCGGGGAGGGGGGAGCAACTAGACAAACTTAAAAGACAAGAACCTCATTTGCAAATGGCAACGCTAAAGGGTTAATCAGCAACTCTTAGGAGCCACCTGGCCCTTTCACAAAGCCTTTCGCTGACTGCTTGAGTTGTGTTTAATACTGAATATTAGTTGCCTGCACAAAAAGCGTGGGCAGGCACGAGGGAAGAAAAGCGGTTTTGTATATTCTATCACCTTTTAACTCTGAAAGTATTTCAGTTGAAATAACCCAAGCTCGCAAAGCGCTCCCTCCCGCCTTTTTTTTTTTTTTTTTTTTTTTTTTTTTTTTTTAATTAAAGTTCAGGCTAGGCTCTGATGCTCTGATAACCGACCACTCTTAGGTGAGCTGGACAAGGAGGACTATAGTGTAAGGGAGGGGCGAGAGGAGAGTGTCAAAGTCCTCCCTGCTTCCGATACACAAACACTCCCCCTCCCAGCTCCTCCCAAAGCTTTGAAATCCCACCCCGGCTTTGTTGTCTTCCCCGAGGGGCTGGGAAGGCTCGGAGCCCTAGTATAAAGGCAGCCTGAGGTGGCTTGTGGCTGCGCAGAGCCCTGAGCCCAGCAGCAGAGACTCCGCCGGCTAAAGTTCCGCAGTCTGGACTCTGCAGCTACTGTGCAAAGTGGTCTCTTTTTTCCGGACTTTCTCCAGCTCGTGTCCTTCTGAGATGACGGTTATGTGTGCAGTGGCAGCTGTCCGGTTCTTGGTCTTGCTAGCAGCGATGGCGTTTTGCAGCCTCCCTTTGCTCGAAGCCAGCGCCACCTTGAACTCGGTTGTCATCAACTCCAATGCTATCAAGAACCTGCCCCCACCGCTGGGTGGCGCTGCGGGGCAGCCGGGCTCGGCTGTCAGCGTGGCCCCAGGAATTCTGTACGAGGGTGGCAACAAGTACCAGACTCTTGACAACTACCAGGTGAGAGGGGTATGGGGATCCAAGGATGCTGTGGTCCCGAAGGGGTCTCAGAGAAGAGGGTGTGCAGTATCCTAGGTGTGTGTGATTGAGGGTGTGTTTGGAATCACTACATTGGGAGCAGTGCGCTTGAAGAGTTTTTGAAGAGGAAAATAGGGACCGTGAAGGTGTGGGTACCAGGATCCTGAGTTGCTCACCACTCCGCTCCCTTCCCACAGTCCTACCCATGCGCAGAGGATGAGGAGTGTGGCACCGAGGAGTACTGCTCCAGTCCCAGCCGCGGAGCTACGGGTGTAGGCGTGCAGATCTGTCTGGCTTGCAGAAAGCGCCGGAAACGCTGCATGAGGCACGCTATGTGCTGCCCTGGGAATTACTGCAAAAACGGTAAGTCTTGGACTCTCCTTTAAGCCTTAACCGCCTAGCCTTTGAGCATGCAGGAATGAAAGGAAGCACTCTGGCTCTGCCAAAGCCAAGGCACCACCTGCAGACCGGGTTTATCATGCAAGAGTTGCTTTCCCAGATACATCTTCACTGGCTTGTGTTTGAGGCCTTGGAAGTCTAACTTCCTCTGCCTCCCTAGGTGATCTAAGACACTTTACATCAGAGTGGGCACTTCTATCGAACAATTATCTTCAGTGAGCCTTCAGGACACTCGAGAAAGAGGGAAAAAAAAATCATTCTGAAAGGATTACCTAGCAGGCCAGCCTCGACATTTTTTTTTTTTTTAACCAGTTCCATTTTTCTTGCGGTGACTCGTGGCTTTGACAGACTCTCAAAGGCCTCTGGATGTTAAAACTGTTGTCAGCAGGGGGCTAGAGTGATTAATCTCTGCTGAGCAGATTTTAAAAGAGATCTCTGTATTACTTAACATCCCTAGCTCTCCGCCTTCCTCCTCCCCTCCCTCCACCCTCAGCTACCTTCAAAGAAACACATCCCCCACAACCACAGATCCACAAAATGTTAATGTCTCAAAGAAGTGTCCAGAAATAAACTCACAGGGTGGCTAGCTTCCTAGGGCACAGCAGCATTCCACGGTGAACTCACTAAATCTCTGTAATATTGAAATTACACAGTGAAGTAACGGGCGGGTGAGATTGTAGTCTTTCGGGCAGTTGGAACTGCCTTGCCCAGATAGCACCCGAAGCACAGAAGTTATTTTAAGATTAATTTTTAGGTGACTATATTTCTTTTTTTTTTCCTACCCCAAGAGGTTAATATTAAGATAGACAGAAATATCACATCACTGCTGCCACCACCACAATTAGTGGGAAAGCATTTTCAATGACTTTAGTGGGGTGTTCCTTATGGTTGAACAGTGCACTTCTCTATTGGGGCGGGGCGTGTTGAACAGAAAGGATTGGCTGCGGTGAGGTATCTCACAGTACTGTCCCCATAATAGACTGCTCTCATCATGGCTATTAGCAGCAACACCTTACAGTAATAATAGTAATTAATCACTATCTCTGGCTTCCTTAGGAATATGCATGCCTTCTGACCACAACCATTCACCTCGAGGGGAAATTGAGGAAAGCATCATTGAAAACCTTGGTAACGACCATAGCACCTTGGATGGGTATTCCAGAAGAACCACGCTGACTTCAAAAATATACCACAGCAAAGGTAGGGAAAGGCTTTAGGACTCAGCGCCCCCACTGAGCATTACCAGAAGAGCATTTAGAGTTCTCTTAAGTAACTTAGGTAAATTCTCTCAGTAACTGCCATTTTCCTTCTATCTCCTCCACAGGACAAGAAGGTTCTATCTGCCTCCGATCCTCAGACTGCGCCACGGGGCTGTGTTGCGCGAGACACTTCTGGTCCAAGATCTGTAAACCTGTCCTCAAAGAGGGTCAGGTGTGCACCAAGCACAGGAGGAAAGGTTCCCATGGGCTGGAGATATTCCAGCGCTGTTACTGCGGGGAAGGACTGTCATGCAGGATACAGAAAGACAACCACCAAGCCAGTAACTCTTCCAGGCTCCACACCTGTCAGAGACATTAAACTGACTGTCCAGATGTGATGGACTCCTTTACCTAATATATGCTGCGAAAGCCTTTATGATTTGTCAGCTCAATCCCAAGGATGTACAAATCTCCTGTGTAGAGCTAAGCATTCCGATAATACCTTCCAAAAGTCCGGAGTGTGAGGACTTTGTTTCTTGATGGAACTCATCCGTGGTTGCAGTAAATTACTGTGTTGTAAATCCTCAGTGTGGCACTTACCTGTAAATGCAACAAAACTTTTAATTATTTTTCTAGAAGTGCTGCATTTGTCTTGTTTCTTTAGCATGTAAATTTTTGTACACATTGATTGTCTTGACTCATAAATATTCTATATTGAAGGACTTTCAGCTTCTAGTTCCTAAGTGTGCAACCCTTTCTCCTTTTATTTCTAGAGTGTAGAATGCAAGGAGTTCTTGGAATAGCCAGTGATAGACATGTAAAATTTAGCACGGAAATACTAGTTTATCTCTTGAGATGTACTGTCTTTGCTTAGATAGTCTCTCTCCCTCTCTTTCTCTCTCTATCTAACTCTATCTCTCTCTGTCTCTCTCTGCCATAGTCCTTGAAATAAAATTTAACATTTAATAATTATAAAATGTTAAATCATAGATACATTTTGGAACTGTGATCTTAGGGGTGTGTGTGTTGTGTCTGTGTTTGTCATTTGTTCTAAAATGACAAGACATATGTCTATGTGTGGGTGACTTTAAAGAGAATGTATTAGACATTTATAAGCTCAATTGGTTATGGTAATATGGGATTACATCTGATATTACTACTTTCAAAAACACCTTTCTACCAGGTGTGGCTGGTGTTTATGCATATAACCCCGGGGTTCTGGAGGCTGAGGCAGAAGGGTTGCCCATGAATTCAAGTCCATCCTGGCCAACCCAGTGAGATCCAAGGAAACTGCTGCTACTGAATGATGCTCTGTCTCAAAAAGGCATCAACAAAAATAGTTTCCAACAAATTAATATTCATCTAAATGATCAATAGTTATTGGAAGGAAGGGAATGATCAAGAAAGTAATTCCAAAGTATGTGATGATGGGCAGGATGAAGAGGAGGTTGTGTGGAAACATGGTGAACAAAGGCATGCCAATTTAAGCCAACTAATTAACTCAGAATATTTTAGAAACACATGCAAAACGAATTGTTTTACCCACTTTGATTTAAAAATAATCACAACCACAGATTCTAGAATGTCTCGCTTTTTCTTCTCTTGACAAGTGATTATTTCATGCTTCACCTGTATTTCATTTATTAGAATGAGGGTAGGGAAGTATAGCTTTATAAAAATATGTATATTAGGTGTATATAAAGATTATTTAGGAGGACAAAACAACCTTTGCAATTTATTTATTTTGTAGTATTCTGAAAGTCTACATCAAAACCACAAAACACTGGGTTCACTATTTAAAGGATAGTAGAGAGTGACCGACTGTGCCAATGTTTTTCCTTAAATAGTACAGATGTCCTAGAATAAATATTCATAGGTTTTTGTGCTCCCGGAAGTGGTTAATTTTCAAGGGAGTCAGGCAGCTGCAAATGCACTCTCTTGGCTCACTGAGGGGACCTGGCAGAATGTCTGTGACTGTGTCCCTTTTGTCCACAAGATCCTGCTTCTTTACCCAGAGAAAGTCTCTTGTCATCATTGTGCTGATTGCCTGATGTGTCAAGAAAGCCAATCCTGAGACCTCTTATCTTCCACAAAACACAATAGTGGAGGGAAGGAAACGGGAAATCTTTTCATGAAACGGAAGAAAACAGACCCTTCCAGAAGGGGAGTGGGACAGATGCTGAACACTCTGGTTACTGGATCCTTTCTGCAGGACCCAGCTATAATGAAGATGCCCTCCTCTGTGTATCACTTCCAGCAGGCTCAGTTTTAGCCATTCCTGTTGACCTTCAGAGTGGGGCCAGAGAGATCAGGCAACCTCTTCTTCCCATCCCATTGAGAACTTAGTTAGGACTATACTAAGAAAAGAAAAGTCTACATGTGTATGAAGACAGAAAAAAAATCAAAACTGTAGGTAGTTTATTCATGGAAAACTAGAAGAGAGAAATCATATACAATGCAAGCCCAAATCAGCATCTCAGGGAATCCAGAATTAGTACATGAGAGCTGGTTCAAACGCCTTGTGGTGGTTAACTCCTAAACAATGTATTTGAATGCTTGCCCCTGCGAACATTTCACTAGCTATTTTATCATTTTTAGCTCTCACAGGCTGCACACTGCCCTCCACTTTGATCTCTTTGCTCCAAGTGTCTTGACTATTGTCCTATATGACAAAAGGAGGTAACTCAACCTTTCGGTTGGTTGCATTATTTAGAGTCTATTCTCTGATTTGCTTAAGCAGGCACTAAGAGACAATCAAGTGGTTTCCAGAGTTATTACTTTAACAAATACTGTGTGTGCTGTGGGCATAAAATCCCCCAGTTTCATCACAGTATAGTTTAAGGACAATGACTGATTTTGGGCATGAAGTTTGAAATAAATACCGTGTCTTTTTCACCTGCTGGAGGTGTGGCATCACCACAATGGCAAGATTCCTACTTATGTGGTGATAAGCTTTTACTAAAATGTCTTAAAGTAGGAAAAGGAGGGTATAGTTTTTCATAAAAGGGTTACAGTAAGCATCAGTCTCTTCTCCTAGGAGAAGGCTGACTTGCTCCATTGTTAAGTAGTTACTCTGAAACCACATGCCGCTCACCTCCTTCTCATGTTGTTGGAACACGTAAAATGTTTTCTTTATTTTGAAATTATTTCTTTTATTTTTAATATTATATATAATTACATCATTCCATTCTTTCTCCCTACAAGCCCTACCCCCATATAGCCTTCCTTGCTCTTTTTCAAATTCATGACCCCCTTTTTTCCCCCACTTAATTTTTCTTATTCAGATATATGTATGTATATACATACATATTCCTAAACATAACCTACTCTGTCTGTATAACAGTGTGTGTGTGTGTGTGTGTGTGTGTGTGTGTGTGTGTGTGTGTGTGTTCAGGGCTATAAACTCGGTTTAATGTGATGGCAGGAACAAGAGTAGGAAACATTGAAATGAAACATTGTCTAAAATCATAAGTAGAGGGAGCAGAAATGGCTAAGAGGGTAAGAGAACACACTCAGCAAGCATGAGGAGCTGACTTCGAAATCCCAGAAACCACATAAAAATCTTTCATGGCTGCACATTCCTACGGCCCTAGCATTGGTGGGCAGCGGGGCATTGTAGGAATGGTGGGGAAAGACTTACTTACAAATCCTAAGTGTGGTCTTCACCACTGAGCCCTGCCCCTATATTCCAGCCCCTAACTGCAGAACTGTCTTTGAAGAGCGGTGGCAGCCAGCCCCATGCTAATATACATTGTTAAATAGATTCCACATAAAAAAAACTAAACTGTGGAACAGACATGAAACATGACTAAGCATAACTCAACATAACATTGTACAATCTTTCACAGCTTTCTCCTCATGGGGGAAAAAAATGACTTTTTAAAAGACTCTCATATTGAAACCTTTCCCGTATCTGTGCCACTCTGAAGTTCAGATTAAAAGCAGATGACAGAAGCTGGGTGAACCATGAGGGGTTTTGTTGTTTGGAGAGATTTCTTCAAGCAACCCCCATGTCAATCAGCACAGATGTTTCCTTTTCTTCCTATGAGGAAGATCAGGGACCCACGCTTATCAAAAAATTAAAGAGGCACCATGCGTCCTTGGAGGAAGGTGAGTTCACCACAATTGTTCCACACAAATTTCAGAAACTGAAGAGCAGGGGGATACTAACATGTCTAGTCACTCGATCCCCATATATGTGGTAGCATGAGGCTCTGTTGTGGAAGCCATGGATGTTGGTGTGGATTGTCTGTTCCATGTGTTGAGAATCATGGGTAAAAATCTAAACCCTAGTAGAGATTCGGTTTGCCTTGTTAAAGTGTTTGTTATCTTTAGACATTGTACAGTGCTTAAAGATAAATTATTTGAGTGAACTACAATGATGTGGTCCCTTTGCCATTGCTGTGACAGAATGTGGGACTGAACAGCCGGAGAGAGGAATGATCACGGTTTATTCTGATCTCAGTCTCACGAGATTCACACTGCTGCTTCTTACTCTCTGACACTGCAGAAAGCAAGGGTGCTTTGTGGAGGAAATTCATTTTTCTTTTTCTTTATCATTTGTTTTTCTTCTTTGGGAGAGGGTTTGTATAGCCTAGACTGTCAATAGTCTTGAACCCCTGATCCTTACTCTGACTCCCAAGTGCTGGGATGAGCATGTGTCACCAGGATTGGCTGGCTGGGGACTTCTTCATTCATGTTGGGCAGGAAGCAGAGATGGGAAGTGGCCAGGGATAATGTACCACTGAGAGTCTATTCCTAGAGACCCAGTCCTTTCAGTTAGACCCCACACTGTAGGCTTCTCCAATCTCCCAAAATAGTTTCACCAGCTGGGGATCAAGCATTCAAAACACGAGTCTGATGGAAGCATTTCATAGTAAATGGAGACCAGATGAACACACAGCATTCTCAATATTGCCGTCTCCTCTTTCCTTTTTCTTTCTTTTCTTTTATTGGCATGATGTGCCTGGTGGCCAAACCGTTAATGACTAGTTTACTACCTAGCTCACTTGGGACAGTCACATCACTACAAAGGGAGTATATTCCTCAAATGAACTAGGTGGCATTAAAACATTCACTGTTGGTTTTAGTTTTTGTTCTGTTATTATGATAAAATACCCCATCAAGTCCCTTAAGGGGAGGGGCTTATTGTGACATAGTTGTAGAGGGATAGTGTATCCTGGCAGAGAAGACACAGGGAGGGTGTAATGACAAGCAGGAGGCTAGCTGGCCACATTTCATTCATACTCAGAAAGTCAAGTGAGTCAATGAACAGGGCATGAGAACAGGCTACACAGCGTGAAGTCTGCCCACATCGACCCACTTCTAGCCATTCACCACCTCCTAAAGATCTCACAGCTCTCCCAAACAGCACCACCAGCTGCAGGCCAAAGTGCTCAGGTGAGCCTATGGGGACATTTCATATTCAAACAGCAATACATCTTAAATCCCTATAATAGAACTATCTTAGGAAGGGAGTACCAGTCTGAAAGCCCTGCTACTTTGCTGCAGAGAATCACACTCTTTGGGTGCTATGTAGAAGTTCTCTTCACACTAGTTAATTCACTTTCCACTCAGTCTGCCTTGTGGACTGATGCCTGTGCCAAGGCTCTAAGGGTTGGGTAATTCCTGAAGAGCCATACCCAAAAAGTACAAATTGTATAACCTATAAAAGCTTCCCACAACTTAAAGAAGTGTGTGAGAGAAATATAATGTGTGTGTGCATATGCGTGCATAAACATGCATATGTGTCTGTGTGTTTAAACCATACCAAGAAAGCTTACAGCATAATAGCATACAGATACCAACAGCTTCAGCATCACCTTGTAAACAGGAGAGCACACAAGATTGTGGATTAAAGTTTAACTGTTGTGC